GTACTGTATAATAGGAAAGTGATATTTCTAATGACAACTATTAGATCCTCTCATAATATTGAATCGTATCTCATTTGCTCCAGTTTAATGTCACACACTACTGAGAGTTTATCCAAGTTGTTTATTTATAACACTTGACATATATGTAACTCTAACAATTAACATTTTAAAGGCTATATCTATCAGGATGTACTGTTATGATACCTGTCCTGTGGATAAAAATAAAATAAATAAATGAATAAATACACAAGTTAAGACATGTTTTTACATGTTTTGCATTGTTTAGAGTACACACTCATAAGTAATAATAGGTACAGTGCAGTTGATGTTTAAAGACACCTCGTTGTATGGAAGACATCAAAAACAGAGTGTCTACATAGAAAACATTTTATTATCAGAAAGAAAAAACATTCTCAAATGGATGGACTCAGCAAGTACAGTGCCTCAAAATCAGGGGTCATACCTACAAAATGCATAAAACAACAAAGGGATTTGAAACACAATAAAAAAAGATGGGTTTGAAGTGTTATTTTTAAGAATACCTGAAAGATGGTTTAGTTGAAAAATACCATATACTATAATCAATTTTAGTGATGTAGAGTCTTTTATGGTGAGACATATTTGAATCAAAAATAATATTGATAATATTGAAAAAATAACTTGATCTAACTTGTAAAAGAATTGCCTACACAATAGATATGTCAAAGTAGCACATCAAAGCAACATCATTACATAAAGGTAATGAGAAGAAAATAAACATTCTAAGGGTTTTTCTTAAGGTTACTTTTAAGGGTTTATAGATTTCAACTTTGTAAAGATACACAAGATACCCTTATGGGAGAAAGAAACACCCTTGGCCATTGAGGACATAGATGGTAGACCATTATGTTCCCCGGTTACTCATGAAACGGAACCCATGCAGATGTCTACAGGGTTGTTGCATACTAAAATAATTCACTTCCAGGTCATTTCTACTCCTTCTTCACAGATTGTACAAGGATATCCATGGTTGCCTTTACACAATCCCACTATTAATTGGGAGTCAGGTCAAGTAGAATCATGGAGTACCAAATGCCATGAGCCTTGTATCACCAAAGTTACTCCTTTGAATTCCATCAATGTGCCAACAGCTCATCTTTTGTCTACTATTATCCCTCCTCAGTACATGTCTTTAAGTGCGGTGTTTGACAAAAGAGAGGCAGATTGTCACATATTCATCTGCACATAAAAATGTGATTACTGGCATTTACTGTCCTGACTGGAAAAGTTGTGCTGAGCAGCAATCAATCCACAGGAGGGTTTGTGCTGAGCAGCAATCATGCAAATATCTGGTAACTGCCTTTGGGGTCAAAGGCCAGTTAAAACCAATCAAATCCACAGGCAGGGTATTTTGGCCCAGTTCTCCTCTTGCTCTGTGCCCTGTCGTGGTTTCCCTTGTGGTTGTCCGAGAGCGCATTATTGATTCTGTTTTTTCTGGTTAACTTCCCTGTTTTCTTGCATCCCTGACCCCTGGCTTTTACTTATAGTGTCTCTTTCTGTATCCCTTGACCTCGGCAATTTCTGACTATTCTTTGGTACGTTAGTCCGGCCATTCTAAGGTCCGGTATACATTACCTATCAGTCCTCTGTGTTACACAATTCTATGTGCTGGATCATACTGTAATCCTGACACAGATAAGTTACCACCCCAAATACTGTCCAGTTGTACGATAGATTTACTACCTGGTACTATTCCTCCCCAGGAGAGAGTGTATCCTTTGTTTCCCCAAGAGAACCTTGTCATGGAGGAGTAACTCTACTAATCACTACAGAAAGGGTTTATCAGGAGATCCTCTTCTCCAGCCAAGGCAGGCTTTTTTTTTGTATCTAAGAAAGAGGGTGATTTAGGACCATATATCGATTACAGGAGTCTTAACAAAATCACAATCAAAAATGCCTATCCCATTCAATTGATAATGAAATTGTTCGATAGACTAAAACAGGCTACAGTATTTACTAAGATGGATCTCCGGGGTGCCAACAATCTACTGCGTGTAGAAGAGGGTCATGAGTGGAAGACTAGCTTTAACACTAGCAGTGGTCATTATGAGTACACCATGATGCCTTTGGTCTCTGTAATTTCCCAGCAGTGTTTCAGGATTTTATCAATGATGTGTTAAGGGAATACATACACACATTTGTAATAGTGTAGCTAGATGACATCTTGATATATTCACATGATCTGCATACTCATCATATACATGTCAGACAGGGTTTGAAGAATTTTCTTGTCAATGGCCCTTGTTGTAAACTCGAAAAGTGTCTGTTTCACCAAATGGAAGTACAATTCCTGGGCTGTGTAGTTTCTGTTAATAGCTTTTGTATGGATCCAAAAAAGCTTTCTGCAGTTATAGACTGGCCCTTACCACATGGTTTGAAAGCCATCCAGCAATGTATTGGCTTTGCAAACTATTACAGACATAGCATAAAATATTTTTTTCTCTATTATTGCACACATTAAAAGATTGACTAAAAAGAATGTTAATACACATACCTCAGAAGCACTTTATGCCTTTCATTTTCTGAAGACTGAATTTGCTTCTGCTCCTATTCTTCATCATCCAAACCCTTCCTTGCCTTTTGTACTGGAGGTAGATGGCTCAGAGGTGGGAGTGGGAGTGGGAGCAGTTCTGTCCCAAAGAGAGTCCTCTGACAAACCATTGCACCCTTGTGGATTTTATTCCAAGCAAATGTCTAAGGCTGAAAGGAACTACGATATTGGCAACAGGGAACTCCTTGCCATCATCGTAGCACTCAAAGAGTGGAGACATCTCCTGGAGGGTTCCAAGGATCCTGTTATTATTTTAACGGATCATAAGAATCTTTTTTCTTATTAAAGAAAAGCTAAGAGGTTGTCTTCTAGATAAGCTAGGTGGTCTCTCATTTTATCACGCTTCAATTATGTAATTACATATAGACCTGGTGACCGAAACACCAAGCAGATGCTCTGTCTAGGCAGTTTGAAACTACTGATAAACAAGAAGTAGATCTCACTCCTGTCATAGTGCCTGACAAGGTAATCACTACCACCCTTCTCTCTGTTTCTTCTTCTATTCTACAAATTATACAAACCAAACAAAATGAAGCACTAAAGGAAAAACCTGCTGACAGGGTATATGTTGCTCTTACTGAAAGACAAAACATTATGTCACTCTATCATGACACTAAGACAACCGGGCATCCTGGTATCTCTAAAACTTTAATTGCAGTTTCGCAGAACTTTTGGTTTCCCTCAATGCAAAAGGACATCACCAATTACGTACAAGCTTGTGCCACTTGTGCCAGCATGAAGTCCTCCCATAGGGTTCCTTGTGGGTTATTGTAACCATTACCTACACCCGAGAGACCATGGTCTAATTTTTCTGTGGATTTTATTGTTGACCTTCCTCCTTCCAATGGTAAAATGGTCATCCTTATGATAAATGATAGATTCTCTAAGATAGCTCATTTCATGCCACTTTTCAAGTTACCTTCTTCCAAAAATATGGCTGAATATTCACCAGGGAGGTGTTTAGATTACATGGCATACCTGATTCTATAGTTTCTGCTAGGGATAGCCAGTTCATTTCTGGTTGTGGAGAGCCTTTTGCTCAGAGATGGATATTGCTCTGTCCTTTTCTTCTGCCTACCACCTCTAAATTAAGTTGTTATTGTGCCCCAAGGCCCCCGTTTGCACTTTTATCTTAAGGTGTTAAACCCTTCTTAAAATGTTTTAACTCAGAAGGTTGCCTCCAGCACCGATCTCCAGGTTTCCTTGGAGACTTCAAAGTCTAAGTTACAGGACACGCAGAGTGCCGCTGGGCAGGGGTGCCGCTGATTGACTAGAGCAGTCAGTTGAGGATCCAAGCCAATATATATCCTTACCGGTGTTAAGAGTATAACTGCCCGGGTGCCATCCACAGTACGTCCAATATATAAACACAAAGCTCCCGACTGATAAAAAAAGGGGTACTGCTGCCTGGTGGGCTTGGAGATCTGCACTAGAAGCAACTTTTGGGGTTAAACCATTCAGGAAGGGATGAAGTTATTATGGTGACCAGAGTGTGCCTTTATGTCATGACGAGGTCCAATTCTAGCACATTCTATACCGTCTCAAAATCTGTCACACAGCAGTGATTATGACTGTTTTAAGCTGTAGTCTCCTGAATGACTTTCCCTTTCCCTTTTAGGTTCACTGCATTAATATATCTCACTCTGACTATAGTAGTTAATGACTGGGAAAATACATACTTTTACTTGGAAACTTATATTTTCTTGCGCATAAACTGACAACACAGAGGACATCCTTCGTATTTTATATGGATATTATTATATGCATTTTTAAAACTACCTTGCTTAGATGTAAATATGATATTTTGACTTCTACCACTCCTGTATTCACAACAAAATGTACTGGCTGCAATATTCAGCAGTGGTTTTACTGTAATCCAGGACATTCAAATATTGCCCAGGAAGTTTAAAGAGAAAATGTTTAAATACAAATAATTGAAGCATCTTCATAACAGATGGAAAACACTTAGGAACTTGGATAATTATAACAGCTCAACACTCTTTCAAATTATAGTTGCGCAAATATTCATTTTGTATGTTTCACTTGAATTAAAATACATTTAATCCACACCAGAATAAGTCTATTCATCCAGAAAATAAACTATATGAATCAATTAATTCAGGTGGGAATTAAATGGATATTAATTCAAACAAGCCGGTCAAAACTAATTTTTACAGTTATATGAAATAATAAAGTAGTTACCATATACTCACAAGGAAATTGTAAAAAAGACAAAATAAAAATGTGTTATAAAAATGACCTTTCTCTGATAATGAATGTACTATACTAAAAAGAACATCAAACACATATGTGTAAATGATTGAGTCTATTTGAACACCAGGTAAGTTAGATAAATATTGGCATGCTTAAAATGCCCTTGGTACGAGTGGTATAAATAGAGTATCATACAGTATGGTTTCTCGCAGATATTGAATTTCAGGGGTTTTGCTTGAAGGTTCAATATTCAACATTCCACAATGAAAATCACATCTGCATTCCTGCTAGTGGCTCTAAGTTGTTTCTTTGGTAAATTTTCTATACTTACTCAAAAATGATTACCATAAAATGAATATGTAGTTTTATGATTTTACGTAGTTTTCCTCTTATAAATTACTCATAAATAGCAAATAGGTTTTATAAACACATTACCTTACCTATAATAGTTTTAAACTTAGAGTTGTCCATTACACACATACTGGGTTTATAGCATATAAAGTACATAGAAAACTATATTGTGTATTTTATCTTGCATGTAGATAAATGTTTCACTTAGGAATAGCAATGATTTTAGAGTACTTGATTATTTTGTATTTATAGATTTCTATACAACATTATCACAAATTGTTATAAATGAGTTGATGATCAGTAAATGTTACTTTTTACATATTAGAATTAAAGTAATTTTGTGTTATTAATATTTCATTATTATTTTAGAAACACCAGCTGCAACTGTTCCAACAAACTGCCTTACAAATCTTGTGGAAGTATGTAAAATTACTATTAATTTTCAAAAAATGTTTTATTAATTTATAAATAACATATCTTATTCTCTCACTTATAACCATTAGATATGTTTTAGATATATGAAACATATCGATACATAAACTATACATTTATAGATATAATAAATATCCTTACCAGTGTTTAGAGTATATCTGCCCGGGTGCCATCCACAGTACGTCCAATATATAAACAAAAAGATATCCAGGATGCACTCTCAGGACTTAAACAAAATAATTTATTTAAATTATGTGCACGACAAAAAAACAACGTTTTGATCTCTGCGGGTCTTTTTCAAGGTTACTGTGACATCTGAAACATTAAATATATATTTATAAAGTGTAAGTGCACTTACCAATCAATTTCGTTGTGAAGGGAATATCGGTGAAGGGATTTACCATGAAATTGATTGGTAAGTGCACTTACACTTTATATATATATATGTATTTAATGTTTCAGATGTTACAGTAACCTTGAAAAAGACCCGCAGAGGTTGAAACGTCGTTTTTTTTGTCTTGCACATAATTTAAATAAATTGTATTATTTTTGTTTAAGTCCTGAGAGTGCATCCTGGATATCTTTTTGTATATATAGTGTGACGAAGTGCCCTTCACCATTTGGTCCTGGAGAGGCCTGCTTGCCAGCCTCCTCCCCTGTGACTATGACTCTTTGATGTATTTGGCTTTAAAGCCTACCATCAGACAGACTATTTATGTAGGTTGCTTTATTTCTCTTATGTTTTAGTCACCCTGTACTCATTATAGGTGCAGGGTGTGTGTAATGTAATTGTTTATAGTGTGTGTGTGTGTGTGTGTACTGTGAAATGTATTGCCTGCTCTCCTGTACTGCTGAGGTTTGCTACCAACTAGGTGGATTTGGCTATGGAGCTTGTCTAGTGCCCTCTGTTGGTAGCAACAGCAATATGCACTACCTGAATAGCAAGACTGATTCATTTGCATATTCGGGTAGATTTGCATATTGCTAATTCTGCAGGCACGTGAGATATTTTCTGTTAAATATTGTCTCCCCCACCCCTTTAAAAATATGCCATTGTGTTATAATAAGTCACTGTATGTTGCCTGCTATGATTTGGCTGTTTGTAATTTTATTGAGTTTTCAGAGTATTGTTAATGTAATGACCATATGGGCTAGTCCCAAGTAAAATAAAGTTTTAGACAGTTCTTCTTGATCCCTCTAAACGTAGCTTTGTCTTGTTATTGGAGGGAGCTGTTATAATCACACTGGGGATTGCTATGCTCTGCATGCTCCCCTGAGCTTGAATCACTTAGCTCTTTTAAGAGCTTGTTCCTGACACGCTCTCATTGGAGGAGAGGTCTTCCCCACACAGTCTTGGATGCTGGAGGTTCATACAGGGTGGAAGGAAGAGGTTTTTCCCACACGGTCGTGGAGGACAGAAGCTGATCCAGGGTGGAAGGAAGATGGCGAGACTCCAGTACAGCCGTTGCGGAGTCTGCAGTGGTTGTGGTGTCCGGTGCGGTGCTTGTGGTCCTCAGCGCAAGATAGGAAGCGTCCATGAACGGAGGGTACTCGGTCGGAGTACGGGGAGCTCCGTTACATATATATATATATTAGATAAGGAGTGTGTACATATGATTATATGTCTTATATATATTTATATATAATGTGAATTATATTTTGAACAATGACACATAATTTGTAGTTGTTACTTTAGATGTAGCCTCGAAAACAAGAGTGAATGTCAGCAAAATTAAAAGTTTTATCACTCAGTTGCAATACTACATGGGTGTTAATGCATAAATTAAAATCATGTAGGATGCATTAGTATTTTGTCATATACACAATTTAATAGAACAACCCCCATTTCTTTAACTAAACCCATTATATTTAATCTACTGGAGTTTTAGTAGACTAAAATTAGACTTAAACTAACACAATTCAGATGACTAAAATACGACTAAATCTAAAATGGCTTTTTAGTCAAAAGACTATGACTAAAACTAAATTTAAATTTGCCGCCAAAATTAGCACTGCTTGCAGAAGAGGATGATGGCAGGGTTAACACAGTGTGATGGAAGTCTAGATAATTATTTCATTTCATAGGAGGAAATCCAGTGTTATTTAATGTCCATATATAAAGCAGATTTGATTTTCATTTTACTATTAAATGTAAGTGACTACCTAAGTTTAGTAATAACACAACTACACTGTGCACTAGCATTTAAGTGTTCTTGTTTTCTCTTATGTCTTAGAATGGGGCCCCGACACTTGTTGTGAAGCTGGGAAATCTTCTCTGCAAATATCAACAAGCAAAGGTAGAACACATATTATTTTGTTTAGCCTATAAAAGTATGAAACTTTATATACCTCAAAGATAATTGTTGGATTGCTTAATCTATTGTAATGTACTCTCTACTATACAAATATAAATTTCTTGATTTGTCTAGTGGTGGCCATTTTGTAAACTCTACCCAGCTTTGTGACAAAATATTTTTGTTTGTTTCAAATATACACACAATTAAAGCCATTGCCATATATGAAAAAGAAAAGCACAGTTATATGAAAAACAAAATATAACATTTACAAGCATTTTTGCTGCAAGTTCCCAACGCATTTACCATGCAATAGTCAGTGCCAATTGTATAAATGTACTAAAAGACAGAAAATAGCAAACTGTACTCAAAATATATATCACAGGTCTGATTTAATTGGAATTTTTTTTCTCTTTTTAGGCGTCTCAGAATCACTTGCTATATGTTACCTTCCTAAATGAATTGGGAGTGGTCTTGGTAATATTGTTTATTCAACTGGATTATTTCATATTTGAAGAATAGATGTTATGCCTTTAATAAGAGAGTCAAAAATTCTACAACATATCCACAATGTTTCTGTACATATGGTGCACCCATTAACTCCTTGTGTTTTTAATTGTAAAGTATGTCAAGTTTTCTTTATCATAGAGTATGAATATTATGTAATGTCAGGAAAATAAAGTCGCAATGCATGCTGATGAAATGTGAAATAAATATTATACAGGGTTTTTTTTTCTATATTTAACCAAGAGCATCAAAGCAAAAAAAAAATTGTTTCTCTCTGTCAAACATAAACTACTTATAACTTTGCTAACTGTCTAATAATGGGTAGTTTGATGTTTCAACTGCAGTTGTTCATACAGATCTTTTATATTTTTAGTCGGAGGTTGGATGCACTATGGATGATCTATTGGGCACACATGTGGTATGTATACTATAGTCTTATGTATCTCTTTATAGTAAGGACAATTACACTACTTTTAAAAATAATGACGGTTAACATTTTCAGTTTTTTGCAATCAACAAAATCACCATTATAAAGCAAACTGAAAAAAATAATAATTGGGGTTACTGAAGATGTCATAATCTTAAGAGCAAGTCACAGTTAGCATTTTGATTTAATACACATATTTACTTGATTGGATTATGCCTACCATTTTGACAGATAAATAATCACCAAAATATTGTGATAAAAATAGTAAATTACATTAAAAAAAGTCAAATAATATCTATTTTTTTAATTGTATTAATATTATTACTAATAACATCACTATAGCACCACCATTTGATTGATGGTGAAACCATACTTAGGTAAAAAAGGGCTACTTGCAAATACATAGGCACAGGGATAGGCAACCTTTGGCACTCCAGATGTTGTGGGCTACATCTTCCATAATGTTCTTACAGCCATAATGCTGGCAAAGCTTCAGGTGAGATGTAGTCCACAACATCCGGAGTGCCGAAGGTTGCCTACCCTGATCTAGAATGAGTGAAAAGATTACAACGTGCAGATTTCAGTGTCAAAGGTGACGTTATGTATTGGATTCATTTGCCACCTGGAAATTACAAAATTGAAAATCACTTATAACTCTAATTAACCTTCATTTAGTTCATTATTTATTTCTATGTGAAGCTCTGTTTTCTTTGGAAAGTATGTTAAAGATTTAGAAATTGATATCACACACCAGTTCATTCGTGGAACAGCCAGAACAAACATTGCACAATATGAAACACATTGTTTGTGTTCCTCGTCTTTCATTTACTGCGTTGCCTCATGGCCATAGATTATCTACATTTTTCATAAAGATATTTGATGAAAGTTAGTCAGTCTTTGCTGATTAAGAGGGGAAAGACTGTTTTTATTTTTATTACAAAGAAAGTAGAGTTTATAATAGATTGTAGGGATCCAAGACAGAGAAACACAGTTCTTAGAGCAGGATGGATTTCTGTATTTCATTTCATATTTTGCACTTCACAAAATCACATATTGTTTAAGATACGAGGTAACACAATAGAAAACTATTGCAACATGATAGTTCCCCATTAAAGAGATATGATTTAAGGTACAACTTGATGTCTGACTCTGCACACTTCCTACCCACACTTCTCATCTCTAAGAAGCTATTATATGCACTCTGTTAGTGCTATATCTTTGAAACAAGAAAATCAAGGCAGTACCTATTAGCAAAATGCTTAATGGCAATAGTAAAGATAGCTCAGAGAATAAAAAAGCAATAATAATAATATGTATTCTTTGCTATTCTTAAAGGAACCCTCCTAGCTGGAGCTGATCCATTAAAAAAAATACAAATAAAACAATAAAAAGCTATGTATATATAACACGTGAAAAATTAGCAAAAAGCATAGCTTAAAATAAAAAGGATACTTACATTTGAAGGTTTTTTTATCTTCTGCAATGAAAAGTACACCAAGAGGTAACCTACCCAAGCACAATGCTCCCTTAGAGGTTATTATGAGCACCATGACCACTTCAGCGATTTGAAATAGTCATAGAGCCTGGAGTATGTATGTGCAGAATTCCTCTATGAAATAAAACACATAGCACATATGGAGTTTAACCCCTTTTGTGCTGGAGGTGTTATCAGCCAGCCTAGAACTAGCGTTTCGGGCTGTCTAATGTCAATTGTGTGCAAATTTCATTGCCCAGAATTGCATTCATTAGCTGAGAACAGTCAGCTGATGCTCTCAGCCAATGAATGGCCTCGGAGCCTGGTGTTTGCCTCATTTTTGTGGAACAAGGCCAGGTAATCCTGGCATTATAATAACTTCAGAGGCTGTAGTGGTAATGATGATTGGAGTAACCCTTTAACTTTGTATGCCAGTTCTGAAATATTTCATAAATCCCTACCAATCATTGTTGTGGGGCATAGCATGGATATATTTGTATATTTTCTAAAGCAGTGTTGAGCTTTTCATATAATCAGTTCTTTATGGACACAGAATAGCTTCCTGGGAATTGTAGTTCAGTTGACATGTCAACAGATTAAAACTGAACTACAAATCCTAAAAAATGAAATTCTGCTGGCCATGCGAGCAGGATAGAAATGGTGGGGAAAGGCCCCTTTATATTAAAAAAAGTGAATTTTGTGTGGGTTCTTTGAGTGCCTCTTTAAATGGATTGAATGTGAGATGAGTAGTTAGAACCTATATTAAATATATAAACCTAAGTGAACTATTATATCTGAATTATATATCTAATTATATCTCTTACAGCAGACTACTTTGGACAACACTGAAATAATTGCTGACAAAGTTGCCCTTGTCTTGTTTGATGTGTTGGTAAGTGATATAAAAATATGCAAATAAATGCAAATGTCATTATAGGCAATTTCAATGAAAATAGTACAACCATGTTGTTTTCACAAAATCACAATAGATGGTTATAAGAAGAAGAAAAAAAAGACTGGGGTCTGAAGAAGTTGTGTATCATATTATTGCATTAAGTAGCATATTATTACACTGTGGACTAGAAATGGAGAAAAAAAATATTTGGTGTGTGGCACATAACGTAAAATACAAACCACAAACAATACAAATACAAACATCATATCTTGCACATCACACCTTTTAGGTGCAAAGGTTAAATTAATCCAGTGTGCAGGGAACTAAAATTAAATGAAAGGGATAGAGAGGAGTGTTAACAGACCTTGAGTTACGCTGTGTTTACTGAACCACAGACACTTCCTAGAAGTTGGCTACTGATAACTAGAAACTGATAACAGTATTGGACAAATAGGAACAGAATGCAGTCAAGATCAAAGAAAATGGGTTAGTCAGAAATACAAGCCAGGATCAAGAAAACAAACTTCAAGAAAAAAACAATATAACAAGGCCAAGTCAAAAAAATGTAATTGATAGTCTGGTGCACAGTCAACAGGGAAGCTTTCAGTAGAGTAACATAATTAAACTCAATGCCAAGATACAGAGGTTAAAGGAACACCCCCACCCCCATAACAACTTCAGCTCATTCAAGTTGTCATAGGAATCTGGATGTACAGGTGCCATTTTAACTGCAGGATCAATTTTCCAGTGGTTTATTCCCCAAAATTGATCCCCCAGCACCCAACACCTCTGTCCCTTGGATTCCTTCTTCTAGCTTCTGCAGTATGAAGAAATTATTGCCGGGCAATCAGTGATAATCTGATAATGCCAGGTAAAGCTCTCAGTCTATCATTGGCTGCCCATTGAGAGTAACAGTACATACTATTTCTCTCAATGCGACGCCAGTGCGCTCAGCATATCAATGGCTGTCCATGGAAATCTTGCTCATTCTGTGGCAGCCGGAAAAAAGTGGCTAGGGAAAGCAATGATGGCACAGAGGAAAAGGATTTAACCTTAGAAGGTAAGATGCACAAGAACAGCACAACACGGCTCTAGCTGGGGAATGCTTTCCAATATGCTGAAAACATAGCATCACAATGCAGGGTGACAGACTGGGCATTTATACAATATGGTTGCCTCTTTGCACCACAGAGCCCCATGCAGTTACCACTATTACTGGTATTTTGCAAGTATAACCCAGTTTTAAAAAATCACCTAACATGGGGAAGGAAAGGTAAACAAATGGATGCCCACTATTCAATTGCATGCTGGTTCGAATGGACCCACTATGACTCCTTTAGAGATTTGCATTGATTCTAGATACTATATAAATAGTGAATATGTTGTAACAATTCTACAAGTAATCTTTTATTAGACTATTAATCTTTAGATATTTATACAACAATTCAGTGGCTTAAAATCTGCTCTACAATTTGTTTCATCTTCTTGCTGTGTCGCAATTATTTTTGTATAATTAGTAAATATTTAAATACATTAATTAAAAAAATACTTTTAAAACATTAAAATTTTGTAGGATTGGGCCTAATGTATAATGTTTTGTTGGGTTCTAGAATGGTTTGCCAGTTACTACAAAATTCATGGAAGTTGCATGTGGAACATTGGTAAGTGTAATCCAGATTAAAAAGTGCACACATTTTAAATTCAAAAGTGAATTAAAGTAATGAATGACATATATGCTGTATTTTTTCAATGTCACAGCAAACATATATAGAAACATTATGCTATATATAATTTTAAGACATCATATAGAAATTAGATATGTGCTTTGGCTCTGCTGAACTATTTTTTTTCAAAAAAATATAATATTTTTTGGAATGAATGAATGAATATTGGCCATATGTCAGTTCGGCTCCTCAGAATGTCTGTACCGAAAAGCTTTTATGGGAAATTAATCAGATGAAACAAAAGGTCATGAAAACGGCCAATAAGTGTAATAAAATAGTATTAATATATTTTGTAGTAAACTGGTAGGATTCACAGATCAAGAGACCAAAAATAACCAATAGAGTGAAAAATAGGAGGAGCAGTTAAAAAAATTCTTTATTTATGTTTTTATAATTTAATTTACAAATATAAAGGAATTTTTGAACATCTATGTCACTATTTTGTCTAACCACAACATATTAACTATTTCACACACATGTAATATTTTTTCACACACATGTAATATTTTTTCTGACTTGTAGAATCAGTCTGCATGATTTTTTTTTAACAATACTTTATTATGTTTGGCAAGAATTTCCTATTGGTATTTTTTGTCTGCTTGAAATTCTGACAATCTCACCTTTACTTTTGTTTTTAGGACCATCTTCTAGCAAAACTTAAAAGTGTACTGGTGAGCACCTAGCTATACTTTAATATTTAAATTGATTTATATAATGAGTTTGTATTATATTAATTTCTACATTCCTTGGGTTTCACTTGTAAAACTGATTTATGCAAATTCATCAAATTGGATACAATAAAATGGATGCAAAATGTAAAATGGATGCAAAATGATACATCTGAAATTAAAAATAATATTACATATACGCTCCCTTACTTTAAAGTACAATGAAAAGACTATCTCTTAGAACACAAGGACTTGTTTTTAAATACTATAACAAGACACCTCTAAAACAGATAACATACGCATACTGATTGTCTCAGTTATTACCTGATGGTATTTTACGGAGTCCAAACTTTTTTATTTTACTATTATTTAAGTTATCATCTCCACAGAATAAATACGCACAAGACACTGCGATCTTCTATGATACTGAAAGGGTTATTTCAGCCTTTATTTTCTAGAGTAGGAACAGACATACTCTCAGTCTATCATTGACTGCCCATTGAAAGTAACAGTACATACTATTTTTCTCAATGTAAATGGAGTAAATTAGCAAACATGTTAGATAAAAATAGCTTTGGGCTCTAGCAAATCAACCTGTTAGTGGATAACTCTATAAGTCGAATCACTGCTAAATTACAGTTTGCTGATTAAATGAATAAAGATAAAAAACATATTTTAACAAAAAGTATGATGGCCTCAATTATATATATTAATATATAAAGTATGATGGCCTCAATTAATATTAATAATATATTTAAATATGTTTTTCAGATAATTTGATATTTATCGATATGTTTTTCAAATAATTTTATCTTTTTGGATAAACGTTTCTAATGATTTATCTACAGAAGTCACCATTAAAGCCTACGTAATTTTTGTAGACAAAAAAATTGAAAAGTTTATCCAAAATTATTAAATAGAGATGTATGTCCGTTACAACTTTGAAAAAAATAATATGAATCAGTTTGTTTGTTTTTCTAAAACATATCAAAAGTATTTTTTCTAGTTTCCCTTTCAGTCATTTTTCACTGTTCACTACTACTATAGGTTGTCTGTTTTATACTGTTTTTATTGAGCTATTTATGTATTTGTTTATTTAGGAAACAGTAAAAAAGACATTGGACAACGTCGTGGTAAATATGATAATTCTACAGCTTATAGCTCTAATGTATACATGAATATATTTTTAAAATAATTTATAAAAAAAAAATCTTCTTTCTTTCCAGAACAAACTCGGAGCTCAACAGCGTCACTAATCTGTGGAGAATCTAAAATCGTACGTTAAATTTGAATTATTAGTATTGAATTTATAGTAAGCCTGATGAGGCTAATCTAAAAACAATATAATCTATTAACTTTCCCCATCAAAAAATAACAGTCCTGCTTTCTGAATTTGGACATTATCTTGATTTTTATTTTTATTAATAATCTGTTATCATATTATCATTAATGAAGCATCCATATATTTTGTAGTGCTTTCACAGTTTTACAAAGGGAATAAAACTGCACATGAGAGAGAAAAAGAGACAAACAAATACAAATGGTTTATTGACATATGCAAATACATAAGGAAGAACATCAAGAAAGAAGCAAGTACCTAGCTTAACAAATAGAATAATTGTGAAGGATTGGGCACATTATATAGACAATCACTTAAAAGTCACCCTGCCCAAGGGTTTTGTGAAATTTCTCAATTAGGGAAATAACCCTCTTATACTAACTAAACAAACACATATCATTGATCTCATACTCCCAAGTTGGTTAAGCCACTCAGAGAAATACATGAACTAGACCGTACAAAACCCACAATCTCAATTTAGTACAGAACATATTTAAATACGTACATTGGTGTAAGGAAGTGCTTGTGAAGTGAAGTTTTTACAGCAACTGAAGAGAGTCGGCATTGCATGTTTTTGATTTGTGAATTGAGGCCTAAGGATCAGAGATGGAGATTAGACACAGTTATGTGAAAGTATTTACAGCTTGAAGAAGCAAAGGAAGGCGTCAGTGAGGGTGTCACGGCATCTTCAGCATCCGCTTCTGTCAGAGAGCTGTATGGGACCCAGCGGGCTCATCTTGTTGCAATGGCATTCCCACGTGGCAATGGGAATGCCACCAATATACACTTACCTTCTCATGTGGCACCTGCAGGTCTCACTCCGAGCATGGTCTCGAAGCTGACGGGCGCTCCTCACCTTACACAGTGGCCGGGTCTTAAATGATTAGAGATGCTGGCCACTGCAAGTCAGAATCTTTTAAGATTCTTAGTTAACCCCTTCTCTCTGTAATGGCACAAGATGAGCTAAAACCAGTTTAAGAACTGAGCGGGGAACCACCAAAGAGAGCTATTGTTGTTTCTCCGCACTCTCTTACGACTTGTTTTTTGCTCTCCTTAAGTTTAAAGGGTAATCCAGACATGGACCCCTTGCTCACGCTGCCAAGATAAATATTGGCTATACCTCCCTGAGGATGCCTAACAAGGTTGAAACGATCATCTGGGGTTGCTGTATCTCTCGTGCAGAGAGAGCCGGCCTGTATTTCAGTTCTGCTCTTTTGGGTGGAATCAGTCTGAGAGGCAAATGGCCTGGTTCTCTCTGTAATGGCACAAGATGAAAACTGAGCAAGGACCCTCCAGAGGGCAGGCTAATTGAGCTGTTGTCCATTCTCACCACTCTCTTGCGACTTGTTTTTTTGCTCTAGTTAACCCCTTAGTTCCAACCTACTGGAGTGACGTCACACACGCACGTTCCAATGTCAAATGCTCCTCTGCAGCCAATCATAAAGCATTTTAGGCAATATAAACCCTTTTTGACCATTTTTATTTGCCCTGTCGTGGTTTCCATTTTGGTTATCCAAGAGCGTTTATGGTATTGATTCTTGTATATTTTGTCCTTGGCTTTGTTACTATTCTGATTTCTGTATCCCTTGAACATTGGCCTGTTTCCTGACTTTTCTGACGTCTTTATTCCTTGACCTTTGGTTTGCCTACTGTTTACATACACTCTGTATTCTTGACCTTCGCCTGTCTTGTACTTTTCTTTTTATACGTTAAATCCAGGCGTTTTAAGGTCCGGTAATATGCCTTAGGGTTTTCTTTTAAATTTTACTTAAGTTCTGCATGCTGGGCATATTAGTGTATCCTGACAGTGGGTAAAGTAGACCTATGGTGTATACAACTGAAAAGTTTATCAACCAGATTTTATCACCCCAAATATGAATAACTATGTGTACATGAAATATTGGTGGAATACATTCAATGAAAATAAGAATGAAATCATACATATAATCGTATATACCATCTGTCTAACATGGTATATAAACAGCACGATCATATAGATTGCATGAACAGATACAGAAATATAGTGTGACAGGCACTACCCATCAAAACTCAGGTCAACACATGCGGAAATGGGACCAAATAGATGTATACAGTAGGAGAAGTAATTAAGATTTTGCATGCGTTCCACTGCAATTCCAGCAAAATGCATTTCACTATTACGTCTTGATTCTATGCAAATTTATCATCTTATGCATTTGACAGTTTTACTTCCTATGGGGCTCATTTCCTACTGTACACATCTTTTTGGACCGCTTTCTACTCATGTATGACAGCATCCAGGGGGGATTTCAGGCCAACATATAAAAGTGGATGAGTATGTAAAAAAACACACTTGTATCCTGTACCTGGGAATATTATGGAGATATTTTACACTATTTTGGATCTTTTGTATGGTCCGTTTATAGTAATATTTATTTTTCACCTGGATTATGTACTTGCATCATTGAAAATACTAGAGAATATCTCATTTGGACCTATAGACTATTACACTGTAATTGGTGTAACGATTGGACAGACCATTTGCTTTAATGGTATAATTTTGCTTTGTTAGAATTGCTGATTTCTCCTTCAGTATATCTGTGCATACTCCTTTTTCAACTGAGAAGAAGTTGTACTGGTATATGGACAGTGTTTCACATATTTTAAGACTGGAGGCATCGTTATCAATATTTTTATGATTTTTATTTGATATTCCTTTAGTTTGAACTCTGCACATATGTATAATTTTTTATTCTTTTTAATTGCATTGTGTGCATTCTTCCTTTATTTTGCATATCGTTTAATCTTATTTAGATTTTTATTATCATGACTTTATCCAGTTTAATTTAATTTATTCATTTTTTTTTTATAATACGTCTGTGTTTTGCCATCCTAGATGTCAATTTCAGGTACACTAACTTAGTTGCAGGAGCATATTAAGTACTTGATTTTGATCTACAGGTACTCCTCCCTTAGAATGAATTCATCGGGAAGTGAGTAATTTAGGGGATTCCCTGCTCTGGTGCGCTTGTCTATGTCTGGAGACATTTCCCCGAACATAGACAAATGTACCAGAGCAGGGAATCCCTCTAATCTATGTTCGGGCAAATTTCCCCGAGTATAGATTAGAGGTATTACCTGCTCTGTTGCGTTCATCTATATTCGGGGGAAATTTCCCCAAACATAGATGAATGCAGCAGAGCAGGGAATCCCTCTAATTCCTATGACGGCTCGCACTTACCACCCCCATGAGATTGCTGGTCATAAGTGAGAGCCGTCGTAAAACAGGTAAGTCACAAAATGAAGACCACCTGTATATTTTATTTAAAAGTTTTATTGTTGTAACCCTTATACCTATTCAGAGCATATTTTAGTGAATAATCTACCTTTTTCCATTTTATCTTTTACGAATAGTTTCCCTTTGTTGTTTTAGTTAGAAAGCTGAGGTGGAAAAATAGAAGCACACCATCCATGTTGTGTTCACAAACAGTTAATAAGCAATAATTAATGATGTTCTTCTTTCTTTACTAACCTATTGGTTTTTATAAGGAAATTATAGTTTCTCCAGAAAATTTCAGTACTTAATGATAACCAATCACATTTTAAATGGTGATAAATAGGCAACTCGCTGCGCAATCATTTCAGTTCAGGCAGAAGATGAGAGCATATTTATATAGAACAAATTACATTTTTATAAAGGATCTCTTAAATATAAGTGAATATAATTCAGCTACTTGTATCCCAGCATCTATACTTTACAGCGCATTGCAGAGAGAGAAAAAAAATGTATACTTAAAGGGACACTATAGTTGTTCTGGTGAGTATAGTCAGTCCCTGCAGGCTTTTTGTAGTAAACACAGTTTGTTTTTTTCTAATAAAAGGCAGTGTTTAAATTACAGTCTTCTTCCACTGGCCACTCCTCAGATGGCTACTATAGGTGCTTCCTGGGTCAGTGCTGCACAGCGTCTCTATGAACTGCATGGAGACACTGAACTTTCCTCATAGAGATGCACTGATTCAAGGCTCTTCCCCCTTCCCCCACCTCCTTGGTAATCTCAGCCAACCCAATGCTTTCCTTTGGGAAAGCATTTTGATTGACTCAGATCATCACTTCTGATGATGTCAGCCAAGCAGGAGGGTCGGTGTAGAGCCAGCAGCAGCAGACTTGAATAAAAGTAAGATTTTACTATATTTATGGAGGGTGGGGTGGTGGCTAGATAGTGTTTTTAACATGTTTGTGTTCCTAACCCTATCCTTTAACATCACTGCATATTGCTCATATTTACAACATATATGTTGCAGTGAGAACATAAAACTGTGCATATGTCCCATCCAAAATTATTTAAACTAAAAGGGACAATAACTTTTGGATTATAGTTTTATGTAAATTGTCTAAGTAAATGTTAAATTAGAGTAAGAACTGTTTTCAGTTTCTCTCCTAGAATGCCAAACTTACTTATATTTACCTTATATAATTTTATCTTTTTCAGGAAGTATCCCCAGAAAATGTAGAGATTTAACAACATTGCCATGTGCCTGAAACAAACATATTCTGTTTTCCTGTGGATGTGAATTATTGTACCAAAAATATGTTTCAATTACCATCCCAATGTCTTTATTAAAATAAAACTGCAAGAAAATCAACATTTTGTGCATCTTCAAACACAAATGTAACTACCAATTATGCAAAAAATGATATAGTAATTACAGATTTTTATTTTATTTTATTTTTTTAAGAATACAAATGAATATGAAACATTTTGGTATATAGGACATGCATGAAGACAGCCGTGGATGCATACAATTGTATTGTATTCATTGAAGCTACATAAACATTTTCAATTGGGCCACTATGAGTTAATATCATGGAGATCCTAATTTGTAGAACACGGGATACTCAAATTCACGAAGTGCCTTACTGGTAGTCAATATGGCTTTTAAATTGGTATTTCAAATTAACTTGATCGAGAGTTTTGCCAACAGGCTTCGGACTATGGTTAAAGTTTGGAATAGGGTTAGAGCTAAGGTTAGGGATAAGGCTTTAGTTAGTTTTAGAGCTGTGTTAGGGTTTTTGCTAGGGTTAAGATTTAGGGCTATAAAATTAAAACAAAAACAAGCAGTGATATGAATTGTTCATGATGGTAGGAGTCTTTATGTGCAATGTTTCAAACATCCAGAGATATTTGTAATTGTGTGCTGAGGGGGCTAAGTTTTCCCCTCAGCACACATGACATTGCCCAGAACTCTGTCCCGCAATTTCGGCTTGGTTATGTATATATTTTGGAGTACATTTCCCTCCATTTTATTAACATATCAAGTGAGATAAAGTAACCAGTAGCAGAAAAAAGTAGGAGCAGTAAAAAATACTATATTTATATATTATAAAGTATAAAATAATATATACATATAGATTATTTTACTGCTCCTACTTTTTTCCTCTCTATTGTTCACTTCTCAGTTGATCTGTAAATAACATTTAGTGCCTGTTCCCTACCCATCAATCATTTTTTTTAACACCAATCATCAGCCATTACTTGTACACTCATTTTGACACGTCAGAATTGTCATTTAAAAAACACCTAATAGCGCGTAATTTGTACCTGTTAGGCTAGCTAATAGTGTAGCCATATTTGCGTTGCAGCACACTAATAGGCACCTTAGTCCAACTCTTTTGGTTTGTCTGAATTGTTTCCCCAGAATCCTTTGCATCGATGATATTTGTAAGAGCCAAACCACCATATGGATGACTATTGGATGATCCAACTAAATTTTTGTTTTGGACAAAGTGATTTGGCCAAAACAAAATTTTCCATTATGCAAGTGTAATGTTCAACTAATGTTCCTTGTTTAGACCACACAACTTATTAAAGGAAACTATAGCATTAGGCAAACAAATGTTTATTCCTAATGCTGTAGTGACATTTTAGCAGTTTTGGTAGCTTTTGTCAAAGACAATATAAAACACATTTGGGTTAACTCACAAGAACTCTGGCATTAACTCAGACAGGTATTGACTGTAAAATGGCAATGTGACATATTTAATTTTCCAGCACAAGAAAAGACAATAAACATACTGTGTTAGAGTAGGTCATAACACATTAACAATTATAGAAAAACAAAAATGGATGAAATTACCTATTTACTTCCATGATTTTCTTCATCGTCATTTTCCAATGTCCTGCATTCACTCAGTCTGCAGTGAACTACAGTGCATTTTTTTTGTGTAATTATCATTTTTATTTGCCTAACCAAATAATTTTATTTTTTTTATTTCTATTTCAAGAAAAGTATGCTTTTAATAAAAATAAACACAACTACACAAACAACACACTGGGCAATATATTATTATGTATTTATTGTATATCCAACATCTCCTGATCGATATCTGATTAGCTTAACCACACCCCAGTTGTATCTTCAGATAATTTTATTGTTTATTAAATTCAATCTTTGCCATCATAACAATTTCCAGTAAACAGAAGAGATAATCCTGGATTCCTGTAATATAAATAATATATAGTAGTTGTGTTGTGTTTAATCTTGGAATTCATTTAAGAACATTGCACATGTGCTTACCTGACTTAGTGATTAGAAGGTAGTTTATTAATATAAAACTTGAAAATTAGCAAAAACATTAAAATATATATATATAAATATTTATATGTATATCTATATAATACATAAAGTGGCTCTTTTGTGGGGACATTTCTTGGATATTTGGATATTTGCTTCCATGATGACACCTTGAGGAGAAACACTTAAATATTTACCCCATATTTCCTATGTGTCTTCTAGCCTCTATCTTGTCTATCTTGTCCATGTTCAAATCCTCATGGATTCCTAGGCTCTAAATGCTTCCTTACGTTCAATGCGCTGACTAAATGAGTCAGAGTGCTGCTCTCTGGTTACAGTGGCAATGCTGTTACTCATTCCCTGAGCGCATTTATTATGGCCTGCTCCAGAATCTTTGAATACTAACATGCACATGCTCTGCATAGGTAAACCTAATATAGATAGTACCCATATATATGTATATTATTATTTTATTATTTATATAGTGCCAGCAAAATTACGTAGTGCTGTATAATGGGTGGACTTACAGACATGTAATTGTAACCAGACAAATGGATGCACAGGAACAGTGGGGTTGAGGGCCCCTTACTTACTCATTTTGGCCATGACAATATGCACACTTATTGCTGTATGAGATTCCATCTGATCCACAATGGGGTGAAAAATCCAACGTACAGATTTTTGAATCACGGAATCTTTCGCAGTCAAGCTAGAATTAAATTATTTTAAATCATTTAAAATAATGTACTATTATACTAATTGCTCGAGTAAAACACAATCATTAAAGTTATAACATTTACAATTACCACTTTCTTTTTTTTTATCAATTGTACTTTATTGAAGTTTTCAAAAACATAAATCCAGTACATAGTCACAACTCAGTAAACATATATTCTGTGTTACAATGAATTCCTAATGTATTCCATTGACAGCTGAGCTGCATTTACAATGTAACCATTTTTGTGTAGAATTCATCGAACATAACAAAGGTATATACAAAAACAGGTGTGTAGGCAAGACCAAGAATGTAGTAATAGACAGTTCCCTTTACTCCCTTCCACAGTTGAAATTGCATACCACCCCTCACATGGTTCTAGGCTTTTTATGATTCTCTCCTGTCTTCTCTGCTGTTTTGCTATCCAAGAAAATTCCCCTCGTTGTACCACATCTCCCATCCCTCCCATGTCTCCCTGAATTTTGCGGTGGCTTTTATGGTATCTGTGGACATTTTCTCATATATGTAAAACTGCTGTATTTTGTCTTTCAGTTGTTGTGCAGACGGGCAACTATGCTTTTTCCAGTTTAACGCTATCAGATTGCGTGCGGCCATTAAAATTAGCAGTAGCAGTTGTTTCTGGTTCTCGTGTGTCTCTTTGGGGAACAATAGTAGGAGACAGGTCTTAATGTTCATGGGGAAGTCTCTGATTCCCAGGGAATCTAGTATATCTTTAACATCTCTCCACAAAGGTTGTATACCACTGCAATGCCACCAGATGTGTGGTAGCATACCTATTTCCGCAGTGCATCTCCAGCATTCGACTGGCACCGCAGGGTACATGCAGCCTATTGGGAGTCATGTACCACCTATAGAGCAGTTTCTGGTGTGCCTCTATGTGGGAGTAGCATTTGGTCCATCTTTTGAGTCCATTTAGAGCTGATAACCAGTCCTCATCAGTCAGTTCAGTCTCCCCTCTGCCTCCCAGTGTTGTCTGCAAGTCGTTGGTTTGTGGGGTGCTAATTCTAACCAGGTCGACATGTGAGTCGATCGTGTTTTATGTTTTATGTTAGGTATACCGATGCCACCTGTGTTTGAGGTCTTTTGTAAGAGGTTTAGAGGTAGCCTAGGTCTCTTACCTCCCCAGATATATGTGCTGCATATTGTTTGCAATGACCTGTGGATTGCTGCGGGGACAGCTATAGTAAGCATTCTGAACTTGTGTAATAGTCTCGGTAGTAGCATCATCTTGTATGCATTTACTCGTCCTAACCATGAAAGGTTCGCGGTCTTCCATTGTGTCTCAGTTTTGCATATGTGTATAAGAGGTTTATAGTTAAGTTTCACTATGTTGTCCATGGAAGTGGCGATTTTTACTCCTAGATATGTTAGAGACGTCGTCCGCCAGTCGAGCTCGAATGTGGTCTTTAGGGCCGTCACAGTTAGCCTCGATAGGTTTATGGGTAGGGCCTGTGTTAGGCGATAGTATGAGACTTTACAATAATCTGTCGATAGTGTTAACAAGGGGGGCCGGGAGCTTTCTGGGTTCGACAATGCCACGAAGATATCATCTGCGAACAAAGCCAAACAATACTCTTTGTCCCTCAAGGTGATGCTGGTTATGTCTTTATGCTCTCTAAGGAAAGGATGTAAAGCAGGGAGAACAGCGGGCAGCCCTGACGTGTCACTTTTGTAATGTGAAAGGTTCTGGAGAGAAACCCACCATGTGAGACCCTAGCGCTGGGTTGTGCGTAGAGTGCTAGTATGCCTCTGATAGTTTCTTTGGGGAAGTTATATTTATTTAGTACTCTTGTCATATATTGCCAATTTAGTCTGTCGAAAGCCTTTTCGGCGTCCAGTGCCAGAAAAAGGCCTCCAAGTTTTAATTACCACTTTCTTAACAGTTGACAAATGCTCTTAGACAAATACTCAATTACTACACACCCTTCCTTAAATGTATATATATATATATATATATATAATGTGGTTGTAGTTTTGCTTTTTTCCTTAATTTAGATAGAAAAGCAAAAATGCAACCACATTATATATATATAATGCTAACAACAAATTTAAAATTTTATACATTAAATATAAAGAAAAGCATTTAATGTAAAGTATTTAATTTTTTTTATTATTTTAGATGTTCTCTGTGAGGATATTTTTAGGGGGTGATAAATATTAACAATAATATTTTCATAAAAATTATCAAAATTAATTGAATATTTTTTATTATATCAAAAATTGATATCTTGGCACTGTTTCCCCAATTAATGATTTAAAGCTGAGAATTACCCACTATTTTAATTCTCATAGATCCTAGAGTAAGTTTCATTAGAAGATTTTACTTTAATCACAAATTAATTATAAAAATATAATTTATTGTGACAATAATAATAATATTAATAATAAGTAATATACGTGACAATAATCAGTGAATATTTAGGTATAACATATGTATATAATATGGCAGTGGTTTTAACACAATATAGACAGCTAATTAGCAACAGTTGTATGCAGTTTTCTAAAAAGATTTTCAACAGGACAATTTCCTTTGAAATCAACTTAACACAAAACACAGCATCTCACAGCAGCACAGCGTAAATCAATAAAAACTTTGGCTAACAGTAAAATCACACTGAATTAACTCTTTCACTGCTAGCTACAATCCTCATAGACCAGATATCCTATTATATTGCAATTTTACAACTACAATAATTCTCATACCAGATCATTTACCATTCCTATGTCCATTCAATAAGAATAATTCTAACCAGGTTTTACATTTGCAGAATTTCAACTTTCCTAATTAAGATTCACTATCCTTAATTTCAGAACAAGTCAATACCTCTGGATAAAAATTTGGTATGCTAACATTTGGCAAATTTACCATTAATATACTGTTATCTTTATTCCACCTACAGGAATGGAATTTTTATAACCATATATTCCTTAGCTACATTAGCTGACCAACATTTATCCAGATATATATTCCTGCTATTAGTAAAAATGTATTAATTTAATTTAATTCAATTAAATAAAACCAGCATAATTACCAGTTAGGATATAGATTTTCTATCAGATGTGTAGATATGTCCCAGGAATTTTGAATGCAAGTATGATGTATAGAGAATTGTATGGAAATAGAAAAGTTTTCCAGAGTTCTGAAGTTGTCTTAGTTGGAAAAATATAAAGAATTAGATATGTCCAGCTTTGGCCTCAGATGTCAGATCTCAGATGTTAAGTATGAGTCTTGAGTTTATGTCTAAGAGTCAAAGTCCAAGAGTGATGCCTCTCTCCTTTGTCCTTAATTTTTAAAGGACCAGTTCCCTATACGTCTCTAATTAATAGTAACCAATAGTGAACTGTGGGTGTGTCTTCCCTACAGACTATTGTGACAGAACCATCTGTGTGTGTATTGTGGTGGATTCGTCTATTCTGCCCCATTCGTGTAAATGGCTTTACGAATGACTTTGTTTTACCGAACAAACCTACCGAACGGATGGCCACCCATGATAGAAGTGTGCTGCTGGTTAACCTCTTGATCCCAATTAGAACGTTGTGGTTAAGCGCAGACACTTCTCAATTAAACCAAATTCAGGGTGGCCGTCGTTCACATGTCGACCACGAGGCAGCGGCCATTTTAAAACGCACGAAAGACCAGCGGTGTTTGGCAGTGATTTCATGGAACTAAAAATGGACACTTTTTCTGCCGAACACCGCTGAGACAACGGGTCACTCTACTCCATCGACGAAAGCTTGCGAACACCTGCCGTTCGGGAGTTTGGAATCACACGAAAAGACTGAACCCAGATAGCCTTCCCATGGAGTCAATCGCATACCGAATGACTATAAGAACTTTGACTCCATGGCGATTGAACTATGCGTATGGGATCTGAGCGCTATTCGCTAATAATATGCCCTCAGATTCAGGCTATCTGGGAATATGTGATACGAATGTGAAATGTTCGGTAGTTGTAGAATTATATATTTTTGTGTGTTTTCTGGCATTTTATTTAAGATGGTGATTTGTCTTTGTCCTGGAGATAATTGAATTACTTCTCAATTATCTCCAGGGCAGAGGGGAGGAAACCATATTGCATTTTGGGAAAAGCTTACATCTGTATGTCTGAAATGTCCCCATGTCTTTCTTTCATTATAGTCTCCCATTTGGTCCCCTAGGGGAGTGTCCACCAAGTGGGAGACCTGCATAAATATGTTTCTCTTACCGACACCCGGGGTGTCTTAACAACTATCATCTTGGATTTTGGTCAGTAGATGGCACAATTACATCATCGAAAATTCTTGTCAGGGGGTCCATTTACCTTTTTGTATAATGGGTTAACTGAATTTCGTGATGCGTTTGACATCATCTTGGTTATTTTTTATGGCTTCTATACATCACAGAAGCTGTCATCTTCAAAGGTTTTTGTTGGTTTTTACCCAGACTTGGTGTCTATCGTATACTTTTAAATTTAGATTCCTGACACGTCCTAACCTTAATTTGACCCTTCCTTACAATGGGACTTTGTAAGATTCCGTTAGTTTTTAGAAAGTAAAATGAATTGTCATTTGGTGTCTGGTTTTCTTGTGTTCAGCTACGTACTTAGTATTATTTATACATGTCTATTACACATATTCCACTAACGTTAGTAAATAATATGACCTTTCTTCATTGATATTATATCCATGAATATTCTATATTATTAGCTTAGTACTATTTACATATGATTAATATACTTATAGTAAGTTATTGTGTGTGTGTATATATATCTTTTTGTCTCTGGGTTGTAGCATTCAACCCTCCTTTGCTGTAGACATCATGTCTTATCTCTAATGTTTATGTAAGTCGCATTCCTTACCTCAGACTGGAATGAAAAGAGTTACAGAGAGAAATATTTTGTGTCTGTCTTAGCATTCTGTTATGCAAAATGGGGTCACCTCTGTTCTGATAGTGACTTACAGTATACACTTTTAATTTCTGTCTTAACACAAAATGTCTGCCAGTATAACTATACTGATATATCCATATGACAATAATAATCAGTTGTTGTTATTATGTTCTTGTTATTGTTAAATCTTTGTTATAATCAATATTTTTATTATTGTATGTAATGCTAATTTAAAAATGTTAATAAAAAAAATATTTGAAAAGAAATGCCCAATACAAATCAGGCAATATAACATTTAAAAATTCTGGCAAATTTGGATCTTGACAGTATGGAACTGATGTAATCTACCCATTCAAACATAGTGAAAACTATTTATTTATTCTGCAATTAAACACTACATATATATATATATTGTAGTGTTTGTTTAATAATAAAAAAATAATCATTAGCAATATATAATCAATATATAATATATAGATATAGTATTTTTACTGCTCTTACCTTTTTTCCTCTATTGGTTACTTTTGCAAAAAAAATTTTTTATCAGTATTCACGATCTTCCTGCGAATATTAATGGGTCAAAACACACACAACACTCAGCCACACTCACATTTCCTACACACAAAACATTTTGACCCTTCCACATACATGTCATGGTGCCCGATCGGCACCATGTCGCTGCACCTGATCAGTGTGCTCACACAGTGCCTATCGACAACATGGGGCTGCACCAGATCGGTGCGGTCACACTGCAGCAGGGAGAGGTTACTCACTTAAGCAGCAACGTTTTTCCCTCCAAGCGGTATCTGGTGTAGCGACCGGGTCCAGCCTTATGGAGGCTGCCGGCTGCGGCAGTCCCACGCTACTAAACAGCGCCACACACAAAAACTTCATATTTGATGTAAAGGTGCGTGGGGCGTCACGTTTTTGATGCACACGCACATTTTGTAGTCATAGGTCCCATTTTGACCAATAAGCAGGATTTTGGGGTTATTTAAACTCAGACCTGCTAGTGTCCAGTGTCCTGTCATGGTTTCCTCTACTTTGGTTCTCGGAGAGCGTGTTTGGTATATTGTTATTCTGGTTTTTGTTCTTGGCTTGTTCTGAATATCCATATTTCTTGTATCCCTGACCCTTTGAATTTCTCTTCTTGTTTATGCTCCTGACTTCAGCTTGTTTCTGACTATTCTTTCTACGTTAAATCAGACCATTCTAAGGCCCGGTAATACATTTATCACTTTTAGTCTATTCTACGTTTTTTACTTAATTCTGCACGTTGGGCCACACCCCCAACCTGACAATGCACAATTCAACCACCACTGAAACAGTGATGTATACTTCTTTGCCCATTTGTGAAGTGTAGCGCCCCTTTTATTATTCTTGAGGAACGTGTATGATAAAAATCCTTTGACAGATATAAGCAAATTCCAGGATAGGTTTTGCATCTACATATATTGACAGGAGAGAATTGCTGTATATACATATATTTGTTCTTTTAGATCCCAATTCTTGTTAAGTTTTCAATGCTATGTGTCACTAAATAACATCTCTAAGTATGTGGTCTAGGTGCAGTCGCCCTGTAGTTTTAACCTTGCAATGTAAAACATTGTTTTGGAGTTTCACTTGGTCATGTTTAACATTCATAAGGATGTTGAAAGATAACACACACTACTCATAGTAAAGCACTGGATTCAATGCTTCCCTATGAGAGTCATTTGATTGGACGAGAATCTAAAGAAGAGTCAGCAAACAAGATAACATTGAGTTATGGAGGACAAGTCTGTTGCAAGGACTGTGATGCGGCACTGGAAAAAGATGAGTAGAACCTTTTTTTAACTTTTTCCTATTTAATTTAAGTTGAGGGAGTCAAGGGTACTGAACCTAACCAGGGACTAGAACACTACCAATTTATATTCCTTAGGTTTTAGTGTTCCTTTAAAGGAACACTTCAGACACACACTGAACTTAGGCTTACTGAATGTATCTGGAGTCTGTGATATTCACTTAGACAGCCAGATAATTTTTCTTCTATTTCCACCCAACATAAGTGGCAGGTGAGCAAAGTTAGAGTTCACCTGCCTCCTCCCTTCTCAATAAGCTGTACTACAGCTAATTGAGAAGCATAGGTAGCCATGATCATGGCCTCTGGCTGTTCCTGGTAAAGAAGGGAGACGTTGCAAAGGTCTGCTGAGGTGCAGGTTTTGCAAGCCAATTTTTTTTTTTCAAATACATCCAAAGAAAATATGCAAAGAAAATGCATGTTTATTTTATTTAGGAGGTGTATCTACAAAATTGTTTTAAAAAAAGACCTACACTTTCAATGTAGTGTTCCTTCAAATAGGGTAGGGGACTTGAGTATGCCCAGCCCATGTCTTATGGTTACCCCTTACTCTCATTTACAAAGGATAGAAGACAAATTGGCTATAAGTTAAGCACCCCTCTGGTTATAAAGAGATCCAGAGAACCCCATGACCATGTATTGTTGTCTTCTATTGTTTTTAGCCCTCACTTGCTTTTTATGAGTCAAAAAGAGATAGAGCAGTGTTATTGAGGGATTCCAGAAAGCATCTATGCATTTATTTTACGTTTGCTTGTATATTTTTTTCTCTGGAGAAGAGGAGAGTAAGAGACAGGCTGGTTTTATGTTTGCAGTCTCGTTAGGTTGTGAATTTTTCACCAGAAGTGGGAAGTTAGTGTCAAGGACCTCTAGCAAACACCACAAACGCAAAAATACTCCAGCTCGTAAATAAATCCAATTTATCAAAGTGATACTGAAAATTAGGGCCTTTTGTACTGTTTTGTATTTTCTAGAGGGTTCTGTTCTTTACAGAGTCATGGAAAGATGGAAACAGGTAATAAGAGTTAAGCACACACAATTTGTTAAGAAACTGTCCAAAAAAAGTTATGGTTTAATAAAATCTGAAATCTATCTTTGTTTAAAAATATGTTTAACATACATTCAAATTTACAGAGTAACTTTGTTTTGTTTCCTTAAAAAACAATATCCATGAGCACCATTCATCACAAACAATGCCTACCTGCTAGAGAAACAGCATCTTTATAGAATGTAATATTAAATTTACCTTAGATCCTTGAATGTCACAAGATCCCTTATGTTTGACAGCAATTACTTTCTTCAGTCTCCTGAGAAAACACAGTACAATTCATATACATTTCTCTTAAGATGTTGCTTGTAAAGCCAATCAAAATTGTTAAAACAACAAATTATGGTCATAAAAATAGATTTGAGGTGCATTGTATACATGTATATGATGGCTTGTATAACAACTGTCTCTTCTCTGTAAAACTCTATATAGAAGGTGCAAAATATAATAAATACAGAATGTTTAAAAAAAAAAATGATTTGAGGTATTGCTCAGTAACATTGTGTAACAAACACATCTGTGTGCCATAGAAGCTAACTATATGGAATTAATAATATGCCAGACATTCACATATTAACCAGACCAGTGAAAACACTTAACTCCTTGATACAGTTTTATCTATTCATTTTCCCCTTAACCTACTTCTTCACCTCTTGTATTTCTCCCATCAAACTCTAACAGCATTACCTCATCACCTCTTAATCCTATGTATATTTCTTTCAACAGTAGTGGTAGCTAAAAAAATATTGGTAAAACCTCATGGAAGCTATAGTCTATCTGATAGTGGACTAAAGATTGGCTATCACTGCCCCTGAGCAAATTTAACCTTCCTCCCTTTTCTTGAGGGAAGAGTGGGGGTATCTTTGAAGGTGGTCTAGTTGAGTAAATGAACGAGATAAGCCAAAGATGACTAATTTGTCTATGACAATGATTCTTACTATCGATTGGCGAGTCATGATGGAGTGAGTTGGGCTATGACTATCACACCCCTTTGTGATCCTGCACAGCACAAGGAAGTAACAACATAAGAATCGGTACATGGAACGACTTTTATGGTTTGCTCCCTAAAAATTCATTCATTGTTCTATTTCAAATTAGTCTTTACTTATATAAAAGTACAGTATGTGCAAAACTTAGAAAAGAAAGTGAGTGATGTTAAAAAAACCTTATTCTTTTAACCTTGCTTTGCTCATGCATGTGTTAAGTTTGTAGGAGTGCACAACACTCTTCCTTCAGTTGCTACGAGGCAGCCCAAATAATTCTCATACAGCCTTTGAAACACAGAGACAATGGTCAAAGAACGTAAATGGGAACTCCAAGTATGACAGCGAATTATAAATGGGTTCCCGGTTCCACCCTCTTTTGGAAGATTTGTCGACTACTGGATGGGACTACCACTTTTTGAGGGATGACCCCAGAGCAAGTGGAATTTAAATGCACACATATACAATAAAGAAGCAGAATTGGACACTGTGATGCTGAAAAAGAAATGGGGGGAGGGGGGTCAGAGAATTGTAACTTACAGTTTGTCACTGCACATCATGCATTTGTTGCTATAGGTTTTTCCATCAGTTCCACAAAGTGGTTTGTACATTCTGAGACACGCCAGACCAGCACCAGGAATTTCATTCTTGAAATTACTGCAATCAACCTGCATGAAAAAAGAGAAATCAAGCAGATATCTCAGAAAAAAATATGAAGAATATCATTATGGAATAACATAACCCTTGTCTCCTTCACAACTTGTATAATTATGTTAATGTTTGCAATATATCAATAAACCAAAACACTGATATGACTGAGAGGTTAGTAGTTGTAGGTCTCTCACCAGCCTTCCCACATGTGCCTCTCTCCACACTTGTGTATTCCCCTCATCTTAGTGAAATCACAAAAAAAAAACAAAATAAATGTAACACTGAAAAGGGTAAACAATTAAAAATAACTTTTATTAAATTCATTAAAAATATTAGCTATATTTGGCCAGTAAATTTCCATCTCAACCTGTATCAGTAAATACAATTAATTCATGATAATAATTATCCCACAATCTCTCACTTGGATAACATATTCATAGCATAAAATCAACACCAGCTCATGTTGTAACCTAAAAATAATAAACACAATACTAATTTGTGTGGACTTGCATTGATCATACAGACTACTAGAGAGAGTATGTAATCAACAAATGCTATGGCTGTGCTAATAATACATACTCCATGGTTGTAGAAAGGTTCCTGCAGATAGGAGCTCACACTCTTACATGTGGTATAGGGGTTTTGTTTTTTATTTGGAAGCTATATCTTTAATGTATTTCCCTACTCGTTCCTCACTCAAACCACTTGTTTCACTCTTCCATATCACCTCTTTACTTTTGTCGCTTTTCTCACTTGTGTCCATCTTTCCATGATTCTCTACTTGTCTTTCTCTTCTCCCTTGGTACTCACGCTATCCCCCAAATTGTGTTTATCTGTTTCCCAGCTCCCCCATCTCTGACCCTTTTCTCCACTTGTGTCTCTCCCCACCCCTTGTTTCTTTCCTCTCCACTACCACCATGCACCTGTCCTCCATACCTCCCACACGGGTCTCCACACGTGTTGCTTTCCCCCCCTGCTTTCACATATTTCCTGCACCCCATGTTTGTGCCCAGTACCCCAACTCCTTTTTGTGGCTTTAAATCCCGATCATCACCTACCTCCTGTCACCTGCAACCTGCCACAGTCACCCACACCAATCTGCCCAGGCACATAATCACCCACCCACTTAGTGATATATCCGTTCACTTACCCCATGCAACAGAAATCCACAAAGTCACTGTGGCGGAACCAGCCTCGCCACTAGGCATTGGAGAAGACTGATTGCCAGCCTCCTGCCATGTGACTATGGCCACTGGGATGTATTGCCTGCTCTCCTGTACTGCTGAGGATTGCTACCAACTAGGTGGATTTGGCTATGGAGCTTGTGTAGTGCCCTCTGTTGGTAGCAACAGTAATATGCACCAACTGAATTGCAAGACTAGTAATTTGCATATTTGGGTAGATTTGCAAATCGCTAATTCTGCGTGCAGTAGAGACATTTTGTGTTAATTATGGTCTTCCCCACCCATTTCTAAATATGTAATTATGTTATAATAAGTGTTGCCTGCTATGATGTGACTGTTTGTAATTTTATTGAGTTTTCACAGCAATGTTAATGTAATGACCACATGGGCTAGTCCCAAGTAAAATAAAGTTTTAGACAGTTCTACTTCACCCTCAATTTGGAGTCCTGTCTCTTATTGGGGGAATCTGCTACAAGGGATTGCTATGCTCTGCATATTCCATTGCTATAATCACTCCTAAGCTCTTTTAAGAGCTCGTTCCTGCTTCGCTCTGAAGGAAAAGAGGTTTGGCCTGTGGTGGTTGTGGTGTCGGCTAGAGTGCTTGGAATCCTCAAGAAGTGCTAGGAGCATCCATCAACGGAGGTACCCAGTTGGGGTGCCAGGTGATCTGTTACAGTCACATCCTAAGTTAACAGCCTCACATACCTACATTCACCCACCCATAGTAATATCCACACATAACATGCAAAGTCATATACTCCCATTATACACTTAGACACATACATACATTAAATATTATATAAACATCATGCTGGGTATTCATATATAATACCAGAGTACTGCAATATCAATTTGATAGAATTAAACACTAAAAATAACTGATGTCAGAGAAGGGGGGTGGAGGGGAGGGGGGTTGAGCAGGGTGTCATAAATAGCAGAAGATGTGCCTGATAATGAAAAATACTTACTCATACACAGTGGCTTGAGTAGACACCATCTTTGAGTGAAATTGGTTTATCTCTATGTTTAATGTCACCTGGCATGTTACCACCTATGTACAGTCCATAACTTTATTCATAAAGTACAATTTCAAAAGAGATACATCTGACAAGTAAACCGAAGAAATCAAGAGGAGCATTTTTTAAGTGTGTAGATGTTACATCTACAATTGTTAATAAATATACAACACATATAAAAGATAATTCACAAACCTCATATCCTGTAGCAGATGAGAAACCTTAAAAAAGAAAAAATGCATGATTAATGCATAACTTATCGCAACCATAATATGATATGAAAAAGGAAAATAAAATAAATAAAATGCATGCTTAATTTATTAATAAAGTGTTGAAACATCACTGACATTGTCCTCACCAGAAAAGCTGATAACGCATAAAAGAACCAAACCAGTAACACAGATAGCACTCATTGTACTGCAGCTGTTACTTTCTCCTTAGAGGCTTCAAATCCCAACTATCTTCTGTCTATTTAGGCTGCTGCATTTATATCACATGATAATTTACTTAAGGCAGGGCTAGTTAAACAACTAAAAATTTGCTGAAAATCAGTATGTATGTATAACCATGCCATGCCATGCAACCACATCCAGGACATTTTTAATCCTGTTCAGATTGTATAGTCCACAAGGTATCTTATATATCATGTATATATATATATATATATATATATATATATTCCCAGGTTGGGTTCTTTTGTTAACTGGGAATTAATCTGTGTTTTGGTGTACAATTAGAATTGAGCGGACACCTGGATGTTCGGGTTCGCCCGAACTTCGGCAAAAAGTTTGAGTTCGGACTCAAACTTGACCCCGAACCCGAACCCCATTGAAGTCAATGGGGACCTGAACTTTTGGGCACTAAAATGGCTCTTAAAAAAGTCCTGGAAAGGGCTAGAGGGCTGCAAAAGGAGGTAAAATTGGGGTAATAGTAGGACAAGTGCCCTGCAAACAAATGTGGATATGGAAATAACTTAAAATAACATAAAATACATAAAAATTAAAAATAATAATCTTGAACTAGGAGGAGGAGGTGGATGTGGAGTAGGAGGTTGAGGAGGCGGTGACCGTGGCAGTGTAGGTGGAAGCGGCGGTTGAGGCGGAGGAGGTAGCCAACACTGTTTTTTATTTTTTTTTTATTGGGATAGCCCCCCAAAATATTGGGACATATAAAAAAAGAAAACAAAGAATAAGTGCTTGGGTATAACAATGGCTGGGTGAGGCCGGTATAAATGTCTATTCTGCACAAGGTACAGACAAGTCTGGTGGGATCCATGCCTGGTTCATTTTAATAAACATAAGCTTGTCCAAGTTGGCTGTGGACAGGCGGCTGCGCTTGTCTGTGATAACGCCCCCTGCCGTGCTAAACACACGTTCAGACAATACACTGGCTGCAGGACACGCCAGCACCTCCAAGGCATAAAGGGCAAGCTCAGGCCATGTGCCCAGTTTGGAGAACCAGAAGCTGAATGGGGCAGACCCATCAGTCAGGATGTGTAGGTGTGTGCAAACGTACTGTTCCACCATGTTGCTGAAATGCTGCCTCCTGCTAAGACGTTCCATACCAGCTGGTGGTGCTGGTTGTTGTGACGTGCTGACAAAGCTTTTCCACATTTTGGCCATGCTACCCCTGCCTTCTGAGGTGCTGGCGGTGCCCCAGCTGCGTTGGTGACCTCTTCCTCCTCCTCTGTCTTCGCCTTGTGCTTCCACTGAGTCCCTGGTGTCAGTTGGGAATGCCATCAGCAGCGCATCTACCAGCGTGTGCTTGTAGTCGCGCATCTTCCGCATGTAGTCGCGCATCTTCCGCATGTAGTCGCTTATGTGTGCCAGGCTGCCCAGAGGCAAGGACAAGCTATCTTCTATGGGAGGTGTATCGTCTGTGTCCTCCGTATCCCCCAGCCACGCTCCCGTGATACCCACAAGCTGCGTTGAGTGCCACCCTGCTGTGAACACGGTTCCTCCTGCTCCTCCTCCTCATCCTCCAGAACTGTGCCCTTGCTGGACAGTTGTGTACCTGGCCTATGCTGGTGCAGGAACCCACCCTCCGTGTAGATGTTACATCTACAATTGTTAATAAATATACAGCTTGTGAATGACTGGCCTGATCACCGTGGAAATGACCCCTCTTCCTGCTGTGCCACATCCTCTTCCATCATTGCCTGAATCGTTTTTTCAAGAAGACATAGAAGCGGAATAGTAAGGCTGAGAACGGCGTCAGCGGCACTGGCCATGTTGGTGGAGTACTCGAAACAGCGCAACATGGCACACAGGTCTCGCATGGAGGCCCACACATTGGTGGTGAAGTGGTGCTGTTCCGCAGAGCGACTGACCCATTTGTGCTGCAGCTGAAACTCCACTATCGCCTGCTGCTGCTCGCACAGTCTCTCCAGCATGTGCAAGGCGGAGTTCCACCTTGTGGGCACATCGCATATGAGGCAGTGAGCGGGAAGGCCGAAGTTAAGCTGCAGCGCAGACAGGTGAGCAGCAGCAGGGTGAGAATGCCGAAAGCGCGCACAGAAGGCCCACACTTTCTGCAGCAGCTCTGATATATCTGGGTAGTTTTTCAGGAATTTCTGCACCACCAAATTCAGCACATGCACCAGGCAAGGGATGTGCGTCAAACCGGCAAGGCCCAGAGCTGCTACGAGATTTCGCCCATTATCGCACACCACCAGGCCGGGCTTGAGGCTCAGTAGCAACAAAAACTCATTGGTCTGTTGTTCCATGCCTGTCTACAGCTCCTGCACAGTTTTCCCCCCAAACATATGAGTTATAAAACAGCCTGCTGTCGTTTCCCCCTGCTGAAGTTGATGTTGAAGGTGTTACGCTGACCGGATGAGGAGGTGGTAGAGGAGGAGGAAGTGGAGTAGGAGAAGGAGACAACAGGAGGCAAAGAGAAATGCCCTGCAATCCTTGGTGGCGGAAGGACATGCGCCACTACATTTGCCCAGTGTACAGTTATGGAGATATAGCGTCCCTGCCCGTGCTTACTGATCCACATATCAGTGATTATGTGGATCTTGCCACAGATGGTGTTGCGCAGTGCTCACCTGATTTTGTCCGCCAATTGGTTGTGCAGGGAATGGATGGCTCACCTGGAAATGTAGTGGCGGCTGGGAACCACGTACTGTGGGACAGCCACCACCATCAGGTTTTTAAAACTGTACGTCTCCACCAGACTGAATGACAGCATTTCAAAGGCCAGGAATTTTGAAATGCTGGCATTCAGGGCCAGGGATCATGGGTGGGTAGGGGGGTACACTCTCCAGTGTTTGGGAGATGGACAGCTGAACGCTTCCATGGGACAGTGTGGAGATGCTTGGGGAAAGTGGCAGATGTGGTGGTGTTGCAGCCACATCCTCTGTTTGCTGGGTGGCAGGTGCCACTGTCACTCCAGAGGTGGAGGAAGAGGCCAAGGCAGAAGAGGAAGCAGGAGGAGCCTGAGACCTTTCTTCGTTTTTGAGGTGCTTACTCCACTGCAGCCCGTGCTTTGCATGTAGATGCCTGGTCATGCAGGTTGTGCTCAGGTTTAGAACGTTTATGCCTCGCTTAAGGCTCTGATTGCACAGCGTGCAAACCACTCGTGTCTTGTCGTCAGCACATTGTCTGAAGAACTGTTACGCCAGGGAACTCCATGGAGCTGGCTTTGGTGTGCACAGTCCCTGGGTGCGGTGGGCAGTAGCAGGCGTACTGTCTAGGGGACAGCTGCTTCACTTTTGCACCCTGCTCCCTCTTATGCTGTGCTGGTGCATCTGTGCGACCACCGCCTCTTCCTCCAAACTGGACACGTCACTTGCATGACCTTGATTCCATGTGGGGTCTAGGACCTCATCATCCTCCACATCATCTTCCACTCACTCCTCAAACCTGCCGTCTTTGCCGGTCTGCACACTGCAGAAAGCCACAGAAGTGTGTTTCGTCATCATCAGAGACGTGCTGCGGTTGTCCTCGCATGTCCACTTCCTGACACATAAGTGGTTGTGCATCAGTGCACTCAATCTCTTCCACTTCTGGGGCAGGGCTAGGTGGATGGCCCACAGAAATCCCACCAGCAGAGTCATCAAAAAGCATAAGAGACTGCTGCATGACTTGTGGCTCAGACTGCTTGACTGATTTGCAAGAGGCTGAGGTGAAAGACAGATGGCCATGGGCTGCAGGTGCCAACTCTGAGCTTTCAGCAGGGGACCGGGTGGGAGACAATGTGAAAGAACTGGAGACTCTGTCAGCCATCCAATCTACTATCGCCTGTACTTGTACTGGCCTCACCATTCGTAGACCGACACACACACTTACAGACACACACATTCACTTACAGACACACACACATACACACTCACAGACACACACACACTTACAGACACACACACTTACAGACACATACACACACAGACAAATATACACACACAGACACATACACACACCCTTACAGACACATCCACACATACACATTTCTCCCAACACTCACAAATTATTATTTTTTAAATTTTATTTTAACCCAGGGAGAGTTTAAACTGGCTGCTTTGTCCCTCCTCAATCTCCCATCAGCCCTTGCTATATTCTGACCCCACTCTTCCTTGTACTATAGGGCACTTTTAACATTGGACATACTAAGCGCTCAGATCCAAGCTATCTGGGGATATGTTGGACATATAGGTTAACCCCTTAAGGACACATGACATGTGCGACATGTCATGATTCCCTTTTATTCCAGAAGTTTTGTCCTTAAGGGGTTAAACATTGTATTATAAGAGTTATGTATTATTATGTGGTTTTTGTAACAGTTTCTGACTTAGAGATTTTTCCTATACCTGGAGATAATTACGACAGCCACTTAAGCCAATTATCTCCAGGATAGAGGAGGAGGTAGACCAGCCACACAGCCTAAATCTATAGAACTGTTTTGGGCATGAAAACCATGCTTGCAGTCGGTCGAATATGACTTCCATAAAACTTTTTAACCCCTGCTCTGATCTGAGTGATTTTGGATATGTTGTTCACCCAGATCAGGGCTATCCAGGGATGTAAGGATGTATGTAATTTATGGGGATATGTTATGTCCTGGGGTGTTTTCTGGACTTTGGGGAAAATGTGTGTTTTTCTGCCTGTGCATAATTAGGTTATTGTATTAGCTGCTTTAATTATATCCCAGGCAGAGAGTGGGGGAGGGCTTGTGTACTGTATTTGGGAGTGTCGGACATTATTGTATTGTTTTTATTGGTTTGTGTCCTTTGTGTCCTGTGCTCCACAAGGTCCACGTGGTTGGTAACCTTGTGGGAAAAAGGTGTACAAAAGAAATTACTTTGTGCTCATTAAACAGACTTGTTCTACCCATCATTAAGTTTTGGCTCATGTTTGGGGGATTGGAGAACTACCTACACTCTGAGGATTGCTATAATCACTATACTCCCCAGAGTAAGCAAGAGCTTGTTCCTGTTCCTGTTCCTGCTCTCTGGGTTTAGGAGAGGTCTGCCTACTGGAAGCTGGTCCCTGGTTTTGGGCCCAGAGTAGGAGGAAGACAGCGAGACCCCAACCAAGCTGCGGCGGTTCGTGGGCTCTGTGGTGGTTATGGTGTCTAGTGGAGTGCTTGGAGCCCTCGGGAAGCACTAGGAGCAACTGTCAACGGAAGGTACCCAGTCGGGGTGCCAGGCATTCCGTTACAGAGATGCATTGATTCAATGCATTTCTATGAGGAGATGATGACTGGTGCAGGACAGAGTTTTGCCATGCATGCACAATAGTCTCCCAATGCGAAAGCATTGGATTGGCTGAGATCATCAAGATTGATTATCTTAGCCATGCAGGTGGGGTCAGCTGTGCTGAGATCGTCATGGAGTTGAAAAAATGTGAGTATAAACACCATTCCATTTGAGGGGGGGCAGTTACCTAAACAGACGCACACACTAACAGACACAAACACTCACTGATTTGACACACACACTCACAGACCCACACATGGTCACTGACAGACACCCATTCACTTTCAGACATACACACGCACTTACTGACAGACACACACACTGATACTAACACACACATACATTTTCTCATACACTCACAAATTATTGTTGTTTTATTCTCACCTTTTTTTATCTACCCTAGTGAGAGCTGGAGTGGATTATTTTCCTGGGGTCCAGTGCAGCTGCTGTGATCCTGTAATCTTCAAGCTATTCACTACAAGAAGAGCAGGAATATTACAGATCCCTTGCTGCCTGCCTCCATTCCAAACAGCAACACACAGCTTGGGAGCCCTAAGGTGGCTGAAGAGAATGACAAACACCCAAGACAAAATTCCTAGTCACCATGACGCTCTGGCGTAACATTTACAGGGTTGGAGTCTAGTGCCCAACCATATTAAAACCTCACCAGATACCATTGCTCTGCATATTTTTTTTCCAAGTATTATACAGTTTAACCGGAGCCTTTCTTATATGTAATGATGCATTAAATACCTACCAAATAAAGACACTGGGTAAATAACTGAACATTTGCTCATTTATATTTTTGGCAGTACATTTTCATGTCTGCTCCAAGAATGGTATGCTTGTCTAACTTTCTAAGTAATTGCTGAATAGTCAGTCTTATTCTCAAAAATTACATTGAACCGGACTCAGACTAGCCATCAGACAAACCGGGCAAATGCACGGTGGGTCACGATGGCCATGGTCAGAGACCAATAGAGGAGATCAAAGGGTCTCCTATTAAAGTGCTGGCCTTGCGTTCTGTCTTCATGGGTTAGTGGGGAGATCAAAGATCAAAGATCTCCCTCACCGGCCCACAGGCACTTCACTGTAGGAGAGTGAGGGAAGAGAGAAGGGACCGGGAGGCACAGATTGTTCTTCCTGCAAGCTGGGCAGCTAAGGGTGTTGCCACGGGTTAGTGCGGCAACACTCAGAGGAGCTTGTGAGAGGTGACAAAAAGGTAAGAACAAGGGAGAGGAAACAAAAAGAATAATATTAATAATACTTTAAAATAAAGCATATTTGCTCCCATTCCAACTTCCCTCACACACACCAACAATATATAGGTCCTATACCATACAACACAGTCACTCACAGCACCCCTCGTGTACACACAGCACACTGTAAACACACTGCATCCCTCACACACACTGCACCACACACACAGTTCATCCCCTATGCACACACTCTACACAAAAACACACACTACGTTCCCTAAACACACACTTCACAACCCTACATACACTATGTCACCTATACACAATTACATTAGAGTCTCTATGCACACACTCCCTGCATGCCCTATACACACACACTAGAGAACATATACACACACAGCCCCTAGCCACACATATTACAGCACAACACAACTGAAACTGACCTATTTACACAAAAATCAGTTCTACATACACGCAATCCCCTAAGAAGCCTTCAAACACATGCACAATATTCTTTTCCTAATCCACTTATGGGGGCATCAGAAACAAACAAACGCAGCACAGACGTTTCATTAAATCATGAACAAACACAGGGCCTTTTTCTTAAGCGAAAGCACTTCAGATGGGCTCTCCGAATGGGCTGCACTGGAAGAGCATTGAACCAACATGCTCACTTTAAGGGGACATGCTCGTTATTGGTGATGACACAAGAGCCCCCAGTGGGGCCTGTGATTAAAGATACCGGGACTAAACAAAATTCTGTATTAAACCATACATTTTTAACCAGTTAGGTAATGTGAAAATGAGAAATATACTTTCATATTAAATGGACTCAATAAAGTTACACTGTATACTTTTGTCTTGGTATGAGGCAATAGGCGAGGGCAAACTGAATTTCTGCAAACTGAATTTTTTTACAATTATAAATAGTGTGCCATCCTGTCCTAAGGATACTCCAGCTTCTGGGGTAGTGTGACAGGCAGCTGGCTGATGTTTAATAATTACAAATATTTCAGTTTACAATCAGTAAAGATCTCAAACCAAAATGCTGGATAGAATTATAAACCACTCTACACACTTCAGCTAAGCAGAGTTTCCTTAGCCTAATTGCCCCATTTAGTAGATATGTGCAGGGAAGCAATGGTAGTGACAAGCAGACATTTAGAGATATACTTTTTCTTGTCATGCTGGCTGCTTGTCTTCCTGCGGAACCCGTCTGAGTAGGGCTGTCAGTGGAGGAGCTGCACTGAGTTGTAAACAGATAAGGGAGTAATGATTAGAATTTGTATAGGGTGTAATAGGAAGTAGGTTTAAAAAGCAGAATTTTGCGAAACCCTCTTGGCCTCCTGACCATTGGCTGTACTGGAAGGATGGATTAGACATTCCCTCCGTTTCCGCCCTGAGGGTGGAGCTTGTGACTAAAGACTCCTCTCCCCCCTGGTTCACCTACTGGGGCATTTCCTCCATTCCTGTCCCATAGGCAGAGCTTGAATATAGAGGCTCCTTTCCTCCCATTCTTTGGTTTACTGCAACTTTCCCCTCGATTCCGCCCTATAGGTGGGCCAACGACCCAGAGTTTGCCCGCAGGATCTGCAGCCCAAACCACTGCATCACAATCTGCCCTTACCAGGTACTGCTTAGTACTTGTCTACTTTTTGTGAATTATACATGAATCACCAAGCATCTGGTGTCTATGGCTAGCTATCTACTTTTCTCTACCATATGCCTGTCCCCTATACATCTCTGTGATAACCACAACACTCTCTGGGACACCAATAGAGGCTAGAATTATGTCCAATATATGCCTAATATTTATGCCCCTTTTTATCTGTACCTGTAAGCTCCTAGTTTTTGCTGTGCACTATATCTCTGATAGACTCTGTCTTTAGTTTTTTGGTCTGCATGACAACCTCACACATTTTGAGCCTCCCCCTTGCCTGTTTCCTCCTCTGTCCAGGGGTTTGTATTGTTTTCTCCCTCTCTGATGTCACAAGACCAGACTGAGACAGATGTTTAGGCGGATTTTCCTTTTAGCAAAGGTGTATATTGTGCTTGTTGTTCACGATTCTGTAAACATGATTAAGGTTTAATGCCAAAACGTTGAATGTGATTTTGTTAATTGGATCCTTAATAAATTATCACTTTTTGCACCACACTGTGAGGCTTGTCGATTCTGACTTTGATCAATTTAATTCTAGATAGAATAATATCCACCTAAACTAATGAGAAAAAAGAAGATATCATTGGGTTTTCCTGCTGACATTTCTGATCAAACATAGAATTATGAGTATGATAGTAACTCTAAAAAAAAGATGGGACATCTTCAGGTTGTGGGACATTTCAAGCCAACCAAGACAACTCCAAAAATAACTGTTTGTTACATGATTTAAAGAAGTTCGCAAGTGGACCAAAATGCCTCTGTATCACCAAAATACGAACATTCTATGGTTAACATAATGGTTGTTCCAGTTTCAGAACTGTGTTTTACAATTGTTCTTTATATACAACACAAAAGGAAAAAGAAATAGAGTATTTCCATAGACAACTGACAATGAATGCGCATTACTTATTTCTTCCTGACATGACATTTTATAAGTTGAAAAGTGTTATTAAATTGGTGCTGGGAACAGAAATTATATGCTTATCAAAGAGGAGTGGTTGTCCTAACATTTATTAACTCAACAGGACTAAAGCTTTATTATCTTGGTAATATTGACAATATCAGTTGTGAATAACAATGTAATTAGACTGTAAATGTATACAACTATTTGGTTATCATAAACTCTGCATTGTACAGTTCACTGCTCACCTGATCCTAATCTAGGCTATCAAATACATCCGGATATTGCAATTAATAAATTGGCTTGCCAGGGCTTAAGTTCTCTTTCAGTAAACATGCATTCAGCCCGCACCTTTATCAAACAATCTGTATTCCTTAGCAAAACAAAAATATTAATGTGCTTTTAACTCCCGAGGACTACAAATAGCACTTTTGTAACTATTGGATTCTAAATATCTTAAAACATTACAGTTTTAATAATACTTGAGTTTGATTTCACACAATTTTTTGAATCAGGGAGGACTGTGTAGTTAGACACTCGATATGCCAAAAAAAAAAATTTATATAAAGCACTATTTATTAGATGCAACCCAATGAAAATATGCATTTATTTAATTATGCATTATTTTACTGGAGTTGTATATGAAACAGCTTTTAAAAGCTGCAGTTCTCTTGTCTGCAGCCTTTGCAAGACCTCCCCTTCTAAACATGAGCAGACTTTCTGTGGCTGCCACAGACTTCCTAATTCAGCTCAATGAGAAGTCTTTAAAAAGGTAAGTGCTCTGGGTAATTGCTGCTCATTGAGTTTAGCTCCAGTGAGCAAACCAAACCAGGAAATAACAGGACCAGTTGTCTAACTGAGAGTCAGGGAGATGTAACAAGGCTAATTTATAAAAGTGCCAATTTCTATTGAAATCTACACATTTTGCAAAATGATAAAAAGAGGACAGACTTTTCACACATGAAAATCTTCAAGAAGCTAGAGTGCTTTAGGGTTTTGGAGTGTTTTTTTAAATCTTACTTTTTCAAATGTATCCATAATTGAAGGCTTGCAAGTGTTTTTTTATTTATTTATTTCCTTTTATTTTACCTACCTTGTATAGTTTTACTGATACTTCTACTTCTGTGGTTCAGACCTTGGTACTCTTGTCATCATAAATATCTCGTGCTATCCTAGTAAACTCCCTAAACCTCCCCCACCTGGATCTCCATCCCCCCCTCCTCATCAACTCTTGGATTGATTTCTATTGTAAATTCTTGTTTATGAGATTTGCTTTACCCATTTATTTTTGGAGAGAGAGAGAGAGAGAGACTCTTATGCCCAGTGTATTTTCCTTGTCTTATTATTCAGTTTTGTCTGCCCGTGTAGGGGTTGAGTTTTTTCCTTCTTTTCTTCCTCTCCTCTTTTCTCACCCTCGCCTCGCTGTGTCTGGACCTTAGCTATACCTGTATTAATTATTGCATACTAAGTTCAGAAGGGATTAGAATACTGGCGATGATATTTATTAGGCTATTATTTCCATTTTGCATATCCATGTACCCCAGTCTTCTAT